ATTTGAATGGCTGGGAGGGGATACTAATTTCAGCCTTAATGATGGCTGCTTTAGGAGTCAACATCACAACACTTCTCTTATAATTTTAGCACATCTGTCAGCCTGTGGACAGGAGCCCTGGGCTAGTGAGTGACTGAAGATCTTTTTATCCCTAGAGAGCATTATGTATTCCCTTCAAGAGTGGGAAAATAAAAAGATTGTAAATACTCACCTACTTCACTGCTGCCCACATTTGCCCTGTTGACAAATTGTGACTTTCACATTCTGCTTTTACATTCATAAACACAAAAATAAATAAAAACTATGCAACTTCTCATTGTATAATACTTATGGAAGCAGCCCATTTATAATGTCACATATTCTATAATACTGTATAGTCCCGAAGCTGGACTTTTTTTTCATTTCAATAGATCACATTGATTTCCTGTATGACTTTATCTGCCTAATACAAAGTAGGATTGAACAGTTATTTGTCTGGATTTAACCATTCCTTATCAAACATTTATGATTTAGCTATTGCTGCAGCATCTTCTTGTAAGGTCTTTCTTATTTTTATCTTTTCAGGAAGAGTATGAATGTGATAACAAGGCTGTAATAAATCTGTCTCTTGAAAATGAAGCATATTTTGGGAAACTATATGCTATGGGGCTGATAGGGGAGGGAGGTTTAAGGGGAGGTGAGGTTTAAGGGGCAGGACAGTCATGCAAGTGGATTGTTTCTAGGATGCTGTGGGCACCTATTAATAAGAATGATTGACTCTTCTGGTGGAGGTTTTCAGTGTATTGGGACTGCAGTTTCCTAGCTGCATGGTAGGCTGGTGTTCTTGAGACGAAAGACCCAATAGAAAGGAGGGGTTTACCTAATGAGGCCAAATTTAAACAGCCGTTGTGAGACTGTAGGTTGAACAGAAATAGCACGAGTCACAGAAAGGTCAGCAGGTTTGCATCTTTGTTTATCAAAGTAAAAATGTAAGACCCCAGTCTTTTTATTTCTGTTTCCCTTTCAATTTTGTAATTCTTTATCTATAGGAGAAAGAAGATAATATGTGAAAACTGTATAATAGTAGCTGGGATTGAATTAAATAGGAGCAGAAAGTACACATGAATAGAACCTTTCCTGTGTTACAGCTTATTTTAAATTTTTGTTTGAAAGAAAAAGGCGTATTAAAGGTATTCATTGTGTATCCCTGGTGGTTTAATATTCCTAACCAGAGCATTTTAATGGAACATTTTCGGAACAACCTCATCATACTAAAGTAATTTATTTTTCATTACATAATGCTTTTCATTCCATGATTTCAAAATGTTCTACAAAGTGTGCTTTTTGAAGTGCCAAACTAAGTGTCATATAACCCTGGGGAGATGTCTGGGGCTTTTATTGTACCTATTTTGCAGACAGGTAAATTGAAACAAAGAGAGATTTACAGACACTCTGTGAATGAATAAAGAAGGGAAGACCAGAACCCAAATTCCTTCCTGCTGAGTGCCAGCCCTAAGCACATGCCCCTTTGTTCAAAAAAAGGAGTGCTTCCTGCTGTGTGTAGGGAAAGAAGAGAAAAAAACTTTGCAGAAAATCTGAAAGTTAATAATTACATTTCAAAAGCCACTTAACCGACAGTGAACATTTAATGCAGAACCATAAATTTTCAGGACACTTACAAAGAAAATGTTCTTTTGTTTTCTCTTCATTTCTCAAATCTGTTTATAGTTAAATTTTCAACCTGCTTAACTGACGCTGTATTCTGTCCTATCTTCTTTTTCATGTCTCTTCACTAGTGCTTTCAATGACCTCTCTGTTAGTTTCTTTATATAGAAACCTGCTATGCTGTCTTGAATGCACAAGGTCAATAATGATTACCCTCTAACTTTGAAGGGCATCCCCCTTCTCTGCTTGCAAAGTATGTCAAACCACAAAGTCCCTGCATCCCATAATTGCAATTTCTCTTATGAAATGCAATATCAAGAAAGGTACTTTTATTTCCTAAAGAGTAGAGTTTTAGTCCACAAACATGTTAAGCCTGGCAAAGTCAAGATATATATATATAGATATATATATATTTCTTTTTTTTCATTGTAGAAAAGTAGACTTGATAGCTTATAATCTATTTAAAACAAATCCACATTAATTAAGACATTCTTGAAATGTATTTCAAAAGAAGCAAAAAGCCTGTTCATTTTTAATATGTGGATAAAAAGCTGAATTTCTGTCGCTCGATATCCAAATGGTGCAATAAAAGACCTTATTTATTTTTTATTTCTAAAGATCTATGCACACTGTAAAAGCTTCAAAGACTTCAGCATGTTCTGTACAGAAATGCTGTTACTCCTGTGGGCTGTACAGGATATGTATAATGAAAATATGAACCGGTGGTCTTCTAATAATTATCAATAAACAAAGTCAGTTGGAAAAAAGTACAGAAAAGCTGATAATAACAAAAAGACACTTAAATGCAATTGATACTGTAGCAGGCATTGACTGTGTCATCGCACAGCTTAATAGCTGGAGTCCTGGTTCAATACGGTGTACTTGGGAAGGTTTTCCTAACGAAAAAACTGGTGCATTCTGTTCAGTAGCAGCAATAGCTTAACTTTTTCAATTACCTGCTTTAAAAGTTTACATGCCTCTAATTGTAGTACTACATACCAGGAAGAAATGTATTGGCTAATATCAGAAAATGGGTCCTCAGAAATAAATGTGAATAACAGTAGTCATTTTAAAAAGAAATTCATGCAGATATTTGATTTAACATTAATAAATGCATACACTGCAATTTATTCTACCTACAAGTAATTCAGAGTTCTATGCCAGTATATTCTCAGAAAGCTGCTGATTCGGTTTTCAGTGTCTTTTCCATCAGCTATGCATTTTCAGGATCTGTTGGGAAATAAGATTCCCTCCCTCTCCCCCTCTTCCCTCTACTACAATAACAGAAAGCTCAGAAAAAGGCATACAAGTTGGAAGAAATGTGCATTCATGTAAATATCTAAACATATATAAATTAGCTTTAAAAATTGAATTCACTGAACATGAATAGTCACTTAAAGTGTAACTGGAATTGACTGTGTCATGTATCAGCCTAATAGCTAGAGCGCTGGTTCAATACAATGAACTTGGGAAGGTTTTCTTAATGAAAGAACTGACGTTTTCTGTGCAGTGGTTGCATTCATCAGACCACATAGTGTTCATTACACTACAAAGGCCTGCCAATGTGAATTGTTAGGATCATCCATTAGGTAAACCGGAGGGGGACAAAAGATAGTGGAGGCATGAGAGACTTCAGTATCTCTACAGGATAGCGCAGTCAGACTGCTTTGATGACCTTTCACCGGTGTATTAGCATCTATTCACGAAAGATCCCAAGTTCATACCCTAATTCTGCTAACCAAAACTGGCATGGAGCCAGTGGTAGGTGCGTTCATCTTACTCTCTGATGTTACAAACTAACCATATACTTCATAGAGCCACACTCTTTAATTTGCTTTGTTTAAGTACTGTGGAAATTACTGAAAAATGGACTTTCTAGTAATTCTAATTAGACTCTGAAACCCACCCTGGTTTGTGGTGCTAATTTGGAGAGGTGCCACATACTGGGCTTGATTTCTTCAGAGAGAAGATGAGGCCTGTGCCATTGGGAAATGGGAAAAACCAGACATGCTGATTGGCAAGGTCGATGCTGGGAGGCCCAGCGCTGACTCAGGAGCAGGCACGTTAATTCCAGGGGGATTTGCATCCACTCTGTCCCTTGCTTACCTAATAGGAGCATTGTTATGCTGGTTTCATAGGGAGCTTAGTGCTTGAAAAGAGAGATTTTATAGTAAAGATAAAAGTTTTGCTTCAATTCTCCTAACATCCAGTTATTAAGAAGCTTGTCTGCTCTATGAGGCAGCACACAAACTACAAAAGCCATCCCAGTTCACAGGCGGGGACTGTATTAAAGTGCATAACACGTTTAATTCTTTCCAATGGATATTTATGGTAGGTGTATTGGTATTATGCTCTGTTTTTTTTCCCACTTGCAGCATTCAAGTTGAAGTTCTGTGAGGGTTACAAGTCTAAAAGTCCATACCTCAAGGTCATTCCCCTAACTTTATTTCCCACGTTTAAATGTGTTTATATAGATAGGTAAAATCTGGTAGCTGCTGCCACATAACCTTGTTTCCCTTGCTGACATCTCCAGTGGATGGAATTGAATATAGAACTGTTATTTGGGATGGGGACATATAATGTCAGTCCTGCTTTGAGCATGAGTGCCCACCGTGCTACTGTGCTCCCTTCCCAAGCAGAGCATCAGCTCTTTTACATTTCCTGCTACAGCCACCATCACTGATACCTTAAAGACACAGAAGGTATAGAGGAAGAAAATCACCTCTTCAGTGCTGGAAGTTGCAGTGAGTTTTATGTACAGCAAAAATTGTTTAAGAGGGATATTTCTGCTTTTTCATTTTTTTAAGGTGGTTGAAAATGCTGTGTGTATTTTCATTCCAGAATCTATGCCCATTTATTTTAATGTTGTTATCTCTATGAACTGTATTTAGGGAATCAGTGGCAAGTCTTCTGTGGTAACTTCAATGCCATATCAGGATTTCAGAGCACTTTATTGTCGTTGGCCAATTAACATTCACAACCTGTAAGAGCCGTATGATGAAAACATGTTTTTGTGGGTATAAAAAAAAAAGCTAAAAGCTTTCAGTTTGGGTTGCTTGCCTTTTTTCCCCTTTTCCTTTGAAATTACCTAATTAGAGTTTTTTAATTGTACTTATACTGAATTGTCAGGCTTTGGGCCCATATGCTATTTGCCAGAAATATCCTGGCTTTTACAGATGTATTCTTGAAAAGTTTGACTTTGTGGGAAAAAGAAGCAAGACCTGGATAGGCCCTTGTGCTTTGGGAAACCATGTGACATTAGAAATTTGATAAATCAGGCCTTGCTGTGCTGCAGTGGGAACTATGAAGCACATACCCTGAACTAAACATATCCATTTCTTGGCTCCCTCGAGAAGGAGATGGAAGTGTTCAAAGGAATTAAAGGCCCGTGTGAAAGAGTGCCTCCCACTGCTGCTCACTGTCCCAAAACTTCAGCGAAAGACATCACGGTTGCTGGAAATGGTGAAGATATTTCCCTTACATGGGAGGAAAAGCTGTGAAAAAGAAGTTTTTGACAGGATAGAAAGCAAAAGGCTTAAGGGATAAAAATACAAGTGCATGATTCGTACAACATCTCTTTTGCAAATAGCCCAGTATCTGGATAGTTGACAAAAAGTGGTAGAGAAGAGCTAGAAGGCTTGTTTGCAAAAACAGATGACATCAGATATTTCATTGAAGATAAATAAGTTTTTACTGGTATAGTTGAACAACGCATATCCTACTCTCCAGATGCCCCCTGTGCAATAACAGAGTTCAAGTGAAGGATATAAAGAAGAAACCATTCTGCTTAACTGTGATCATTTGAAGAGTCCCCTGGCTCAATCCATCTTCTCTTATCCTCCCAGCCCCAAACCTGGGAGAAGAGAGTAGTGATGGCACTAACGTCTGGATTTATCTTGCAAACCAGTGAGCAATAAAAAGATTTTCAGTATATGCATTTTAAGCATATTTTTAGCTGTTACATCTTTTTGGATATCCACTGTTAACATAGGAGAAAATCAGTTATTTGCCCAAGATATTTCACTTCTGGAAACACATCATAACACAGCTCTTATTTCATTGTCTGCTCTTCCCTTAGTGTGCAGTGTATGCAAAGGTGACTACAGCTACAAGTCTGTGAATTGTTGCTTGCTACATTTAAAATATCCACAAAGATTATAATAATTTTTTATTGGGCTGAAAGTTAAGATCTAGTTTTCTCATTAAAGAAAAATACACTATTTTAAACATAGAGCTTCCCCAGATTGTATTTGGTTTAATCTTTAGAAAGGAAGACTTGAAGATACAATACCAGGCTATTTAAGATTTTCTGCTTCTTGAAGCACAGAGCACAGGGGTTGATCCACCATTACATTAAGGCTTATTAATACCGTTCTGCAGGAGTTTTAAAGGGGCTTCTGAAGAGTTTCTGCAGAGCCTTTGCTGTGCCCTCTTCCAGACCTTCTGGAAGCATAGACAGGTGAAAACAGAACTACAGGCCTTGTTCTCTGTGGCTTTGCCTGGAAATCTTGTTCAGGCAAAATATGAAATACTTGTTTGTATTAGATGTCCAGATGCACAGAGACCTCCACTGCATGATCACCACTCCATTCCTGTGACTGGCATGTTTAGGAGAGAGCAGTCCCTGCATGATGCTACAGGATGTGAAAGCAGATTTTTCACAGCACACTGGCCACTCCAAGAAGGAAGCAGGTGAGGAGGAAGCATGCCTTAAGCACATTTTGCTCAAGGTTTATTTCTTTCAGTTTTGCACTTCACTGGAAGCTGGAACCACACTAGAAGAGCCTTGAAGCTGCCGTCAGGGACTGGAGAGGCCATGCTGGCCTCATGAATATGGCAGTGACAGGAGACTTAGATCTGCCAAGTTAGCTAGCAGGCTTTGAGTGTTCTTTTTATAAGGTGCTATGTGTGCTTTATAATAATAGTAATAATAAATGTCTTGTTCTTCATTGTTCAGTGGGAATGATGGCTACCTTAGGGTAGCCATCCTTTGCTCCTTTGTTCCTTTGCTCTGTTATCTTGTATGGTTTGAGGTATTTCTGGTGTTGTGTTGTTCTAGCTCCATGTGAGAAGGCCAAAACCTACGATCTAAACATACTTTAAATAATCAAAAGCTCCATGTAGCTTAGGACATTTCTACAGAACAGTCACGTATTTCCTCTGCCATATTCTGTAGCTATAGTGGAGAAAGGGGTGTTCAAGGCAAAGATTTGCATGTGAAGCTGGATAGTTTACTTTGAGCAAGTACTGTAAATCATGTGTCTGGGGAATGGGTTTGTCTGGCAAGTGAAGAGGGTTGAGTTGTTTTTGTACTTTCAGAAATTGCATGGCAATTATTTTATTATGGGGCTTCAGTAGGAAAATAACAATTTTATGGAATGGCTTGTTTTTCCATGGAGCGCAGTTGTTGCCGGTTGCTATTTTTCTCTTAATTAGAGAGGCAATTTTAATTATCTGTCAACATCCTCTGGAACCTGGGTTAGCTGGTCTTTTTCATTCACATGTGATGAAATCAAAACAAGTAGAAGGTGAGTCTGTCATAACTGATAGGAAGTAGAATGAAGCCTAAGCATGAGAATAATTAGCATGCTTGGACTGCAGGAAGAACGAACTCTTGTCAGGTATGACGGCTATGTCCTTTCACTCCCTGTATTTCTGATGCAATTTGAATGCATTTGTAATTATACTGAATAATATCCTTTAATTCCATATCTGTGTAGTGAAAGTTTTCTAATGCCTTAAAGTGTGGTAAGGATCCCAAACTTTTTATTAAAATGTAATACTAGACTATTTGTGATTTGAGAAAGAGTAGGGAAGTTAAACTTGCTTTCCTCCTTCCCTGTGTACACACAGCTGCTTCTTGCAGGCGTAGCCTACAACAGGGAAGCTTTACCAAAACTCATTCACAAAACACAAAACAGTATTGCTGCAAAAGTTCCTGTTAATATTGCACTGTGGTGTGGTCTGTTGCAAGTGGAAAGTGTATCACAGAAGATGACCTGAATCAGAAGAGCTTTGAGGCAAACAATTGTGATTGTATGGATGGTCTATATGCATGTACTGGTGTGTGCAGGGGGCAGAGAGCATACTGGTATGTGTGTTTAATTGCACAATACCTGCCAGATCACCTGTAATCGAATCAACTGTGCTTGCATAACAAAGTCATGGTCTTCTCAAACTGAAATGTCTTAAGTAAAATGATTTTGTGGTGTTTAAAAAGCAACAGCAAAAAATTCACTAAAGACCATTAAGCGGCCTCAAGCCCCACGTTTCAGTGTTCATTTGTACCGATTATGGTGTGACAGCTCTTGAGTTTCCAATGATAACAGCCATCTGACTTGATCTGAGTTCAATGGATTTTCACTAAAATAGAATCATCGCCTGTGTGATGGATAGAAAAAGTAAAGCAATACATCCTGATAAATGCTCTGGCTTTTTTTCCCCTTCCCTTATTGTGACCTTGTACAATCTATAAGTGAGCAAAGCTGAGCCCTGGCCACTGCTGCAACGCATCAGGACTTTGAAATTTAAGTAGCTCTGAAACCCATCAATGGGGTGAAGGGAGAATGGCCTGAGAAAGCGATGGATCATGCTTAGAGGGCTCACAGGGAAACAGGGTAAGCTGAAGGTCAATACGCAGACATGTCCTGAAGGAACAGCTCAGACACTCATTCACATTCACATCTCAAAGCCACTGCTGCTGTAGCACTGTGAGGAGAGATCAGTAGGAAAGTAAAATAAAACAAGAATTTCAGAGCATATAATTTCTTTGGAGAAGCAAATGGCACAAGGGTACAATGTAAAATAGCTATAACCTATAGTGCTGGTGCAGTGCCTTCCAAGTAGCAAGAAGCATAACACCATGGAAACACATTCTCTCCATTACACTCCAGTTGTTTTCAAAGTTTTTCAGTCCCGATAACTGTGGAGAGCATTTAACATTTTTAATATGTCATTGATCATTTGTAACACATTATTCAGCATGACATAAAAGTGAACTAAAATAGAAAAGGTACAGTCTGAATCCATACACATGCAGACAAGTAATTAAAGGCCTTTATAGTCTGTGCTTTGTATGCCTGCTTGGATGCAGATGTGTACAAAACTTTTCCACAAGTTTATACTCAGATTCTGATTTCTTCGGGGTTTTGTTTTGAAAAAGATTTGGTGTCAGGTACAGAGTGTCCTGGCTGTAAAGAGCTTAAAAAATAGAAGGGAAAAAAGGAAGAAAAAGAAAATACTAAAATAAAATTAGTACACAAATTTGAACCCGCAGTTACTATGCCTAAAGCAGAAATTGCCGAACAAGTCAAGAGGCTTATTAGCATTTTATGTAAATCAGTTATTACTGTTCTCCACTTCCTTAATTATCCATGTTATTTCAATACAACCCTTTCTTTGATGTCCCAATTCTATATTTAAATAGTGCAAGATTTCTATCATATCCTCCCGCTGAGGTTTGTTCCATGCAAAAAACATGCCAAGAGCAGCTATTTTAGAGACTACTGGGAAATGTTTAATTGGTTAATCCCATTTGAGTTATGAGGGAGTATTGCCATGCACAGAAAACAGAAACATGTAAAGTACTGGCTTGGAGAAGTTTACTAAAACCTGCAAGACTTCCCCTGAAATTTAGCCCTAAAGATGTTTTGTTTCCTAGGTACCCAGTGGGAAATGATTCAAAGGAAAATCCTTCAAGCTTCTTTGAAATACACTAAATGATTGATTCACAGTAGAAATATTTTTGAATTAAAACGCAAAGTCATTTTTGGTTCTTGCAGTGCAGGAAGGGTCTCTCTTCATATTTGACCAAGCAATGCTGTGGCAAAAGAACAGTGTGTTTAAGCCAGGAAAAAAAACAACAACAAACACCAGACTTTAAGAAGTTGTTAATCGTTACCTACTATTGCAAGCAAATGAGCGCTCCTTGGAATTCCATGTTGTGAAGTGATCAACATTGTGTGAGTATCAGTTCCAATAAAAAAATGGACATTTCCTGTTGCCCATTAGGATCAATTCTACACAAAGTAATGCTTTAAAAAAAGTAGCATTTCTGTACAGCTTCCAATGTCCAACTTTGGTCTGGAAAGACTTCAGAGCAAAGCATTGGCAAATATTCCTTTCCCTATTTCAAACATCTGATAGTTTTTAACCATTTTGGAAACTTCTTTGGGAGGAGTGTAAGAATTTTAACATCAGCAATGAAGAAAAAAGTGTGTACTTAATTTGGCTGTAAACACAGCAGAATGCTACAGCATGGTCAGATAAACAAGTTCATCTTCATAGATTTGAATGGAAAGAAGTAAAGTTGCAGCCTTTTTTTTTTCCTTATTTTTGTTTTAATTCATTTTAAGTTGTAAGATTATTTTCCACGTTTACTGAAGATATATCAGTATGTATATACAGGGACTCATAGAAGTACAGGTACAGGGAATTTTCTTAGTGCATGAAGCTTGGTAAATAAGAGAGGAAATAGCTGATTAAAAAAGAAATCCTCTCTTGTCTTCTGTATATATTTATCTTTTATAAGTAACATGGGTTTTATTGTACTGATTCCCAAACTAAGGTTTGGATTGTCCAGTTGAAAGGTTTTGGCAACAAGCTTTTCTGTATTCGCGATTCTTACAAACTTATGGAAATAGGTTAACTTATTAAAAAATCTGTGCTGGAACTGTGGATTTCCGAGTTTCCAGCACTGGGAAGTACATTGTTCCAACTCTGAAATTATACAGTCTAAAATCATCATCATGTATTTTCATCAGGATGAAATATCGGGAGCTCTGCTTAGTGCAAGGTTTTATTAATGATGTGCTGTCAGAAGCTGGATGCTCTGCATATTTGCATATTAAACAGCTGAGTGAAGAAACATTCCTTTTATTGCTGCAGGGAATAAATCAGTTTAAAGCAAGTTCTCATCATTTATACTCCTTT